TGGATTAAAAAACAATGGTATATCTGCACAACAGAATAATACACTGTGGTAAAAAAGAAGGAATTCTTACCATTTGCAGCAGCATGGAGAGCATTATGCTAAGAGAAATAAGCCAGTCAGAGAAAAATAAATATCACATTATCTCATTCATTGTGAAATATAATGAACAACATAAACTGATGAGCAAAAACAGATCCAGAGACAGAGAGGCATAGATCAGACCATCAAACCTCAGAGGGAAGGTAGCGTAGGGTGGGGGTAAGGTGGAGAGATCAACCAAAGGACTTGTATGCATGCATATAAGGCTAACCAATGGACACAGACACCAGGAGGTGATGGGGGGCAATAGAGGGTTAAGGACACATATGTAATACCTTAATCAAAGAAGAAAAAAAAAATAAAAACATCAATTCATGCCTCAGAGTAATTTGATTATGCCATTCCCTATTCCATCTTCCTGGTGAACTCTCACAGAGCCTTCCAGAGCCAACTCAGAAAACTAAGTTCTCCTTAGTTGCTCACTAACCTCTTTGCCCACAGAGTCTTGTACAGACTTCTGTAACACATTGGCCACTCTCTATTGCAATGATTTGTTGACATGTGTGTCTCCTACATTAGAAAGTGGCTTTTAAGAGCATTAATAATTTCTTAGTTGCCTTTGCATCCCTGGGATATAATCCCTATAACATGGTTTGTTATTTATGAAGCTTTTCAGTGTTTTTAGAAACTATCCAGAGCCTTGCAGTCCTCTTATAGATTTTAGAAACTGAGGCTCTGAGAGGCATTTATGGAGACAAATGCTGTATGAGGTTCCAGAACTAAGAAGATCCATGGTATTTTGGAACATATTCCTGTGCAGAAAATTGTTTTAGCCAAACATCTTGATGTGTTAAATAGGATATTTACAAGGAATTTGATTTAATTAAGGTACATTCCTCATGATTAACTGCTAGACATTGTAATTATTGACTTGGAACTGTTACAGAAATCTTTTGGTCTAACACCAAAATATTTTCTAGAACAGCTTATGTTTCTCCCTCATTTTCAAAATACACTATCATCTGTCAAATTAGTTGGGATATTTTGCAAGTGGATCATGGATTGATAACATTATATTCTTCCAGACTTGAAGAATGAGAATCTTTGCTAAAAATATTGCATTGGCCTTGCCAGCATGGTTCAGTGGTTGAGTGTCAACCTATGAATCAGGAGGTCATGGTTTGATTCCCAGTCAGGGTACATGCCTGGGTTGTGAGTCCAATCCCCAATGTGGGTGTGCAGGAGGCAGCTAATCAATGATTCTCTTTCTTCATTGATGTTCCTTCTCTCTCACTTCTCATTTTTTCTCTGAAATCAACAAAAGTATATATTTTTAAATGTTGCATTGTGCTACATGATATAATGGAGAAGAGCTTTATCTCAGCATGTCACCTAATATGTATTTTTTAATCCCTTGGGCTTCTTAATTATGAAATGGGCTTAGATGTATGGTGAGGATTAAATGAGATAAGGGATGGGGAGAAGGGTTGCATATTTACTAGTATCAGGGCCAGAGTTGTTTGTGTTGAATGCATGTAGCATGCTGGGAACAAAAGGTATGGGTGGCAGGGAAAGATAAAGACCCTGAGAAGCAGGAAGTGCTATACTGGCCTGTGAAAGTAGAGCATCCTCTAATTCTTTTTCCAGAATTACTCAATTGCTTTAATAGTTTCCTGGAATCATTAAGCAATTTCAGGGAATCAATATGGTAGCGTGATTAGAGCTTTGCTTTGAATTAAACTCTTGACTTTGTCTCAAATTAATGCCTACTATTTTGAATCTTAAATGAGGTGGTAAGCTTAGTATGTGTTTATAGTTTTATTTTATTCTTGTAACAGTCTGCAAAGAAGTTATTTTGTTGTCATTATTATTTCCATTGGGTTAGTAGACTGAGACATAGAAAGATTTAGTAATTTGTCCAAGGAAAAACACTTAGTAAGTGGTACCTAGATGCAAGTCTAGGTCATTTAAAACATAACTACATCACCATACTGCCTCTGGGATCTTCAGTAAGTTAACCTTATTGAGCTTTTAGATCCCTTGTCAATGAAATGGAGGTCATGATTTTTACTACCTGTCTTGCTATGATATTTCAATAAGCCAATACATAAAAATTTCCTCACCATAACTGCAGGATCTGCAGAGCTTGTTAAAAATACAGATTGATCTCAAAAGTGTGTGTGCATGTGAGTGTGTGTATGTTTGTGTGTGTGTGTGTGTGTGTGTGTGTGTGTGTTCATCTCAGTCTCATTCTGAGGAGTGAGATATTTTTTACCTGCTCACATTGAGGTACTCCAGGAAATTGACTGGCAGTTGGCAGGCAGCCTGGGGTTCTATGACTCTGGCTCAGGGCTCCAAAGCATGCCAGTGTGCCAACTAGGCAGGCTTTGAGGTAGGCAGGAGGGATCCATAACCAGGATGGTGATGTGATGAGGTAGTTTGCACCCACTGTTTGTGCCTTCTAAAGAACCTATGAAGAAAGCGGAAAAACTTCATATCCTTGACTCAATTTACAACATGGGACTTAAGAGGTGGGAAAAAGGAAACTGGGCTAGGATAAAGGGTTTGCTTATTTTTCTTCCTGTTTCATTGAACAGCCAAGGCCAAGCTGTTTTTGTAACATTTTCCCCCTGGAGTACTTGTGTGGAAAGATAGCAAAGGTACTAAATAAATTTTGCTTCTATAATTTAGGTCCAAGTGCTTCAAGAAATCTCCCTAAAAGGTGGATTACACATACACACACGCGCACACACACACACACACACAATTGCTATAGAATACTTAGGATCCATATTCTATATTATGCTTTAACAATAATGTAGTTAGCCTTCAGTATTACATAGTTGAAATCATATAGATTTAATGAGAAGACATACTTACTGTAAAATACAAGTTCTACCACATGTGCCTTTTGCTCCATTTCTTAATCTCATAACCTTGATTTTACTCCTCTATAAAATAAGAATAATAATTAATACCTGCCTTGCAGAGTCTATTTGCCAAGTAAATGACATAGAGAACATAAAAACGACTAGAGCAGTGCCTGGATCAGCAAATGCTGGTTGCCCTTCTCTACAACAGGGATTTTGCATAGATTCCTGAACAATTTTATCATCTTGACCATCACTACTACTACACTATAATTTTTCTTCTGTATTTTTTTTTAGGATATAGCACTCACCCTTCACCCTTAGGGGAAGGACATTCTTTTTTTGCCTTCTCACTTTACCCCATCCATAATATCCATTTTATAATCTTACACTTGACCACTGAGCAAGGAAAATATGTGTCCATACAAGAATACTGATGTATTTTAAATGCCCGTCTTCTTAAAGCAGAAATTCTGCTGAGTATGAATAGGCTCATGTACAGTATTTAGCTATTGGATTTCCTAAAACTCTAACTTGGCTGTTCCATGCTGTACTGTTCACTCATTTTCATGAATCCCCTGTTTACCAATTTTGCATGTTTTCTGTCATTTCATTCTTTGCCTCTAATTATGTTGCCATATCTCTGAATTGCTAGTTTTGAATATTCTTCTGATTAAATAGAATCTTTCTACTTAGATTTGACAGATTAGTGAATTATCACACAAGATAGAAGGAATCAAGGTGCCAAATATGGCGCCAGAGGTCAAGCCTGAAGTTTGGTACAATCAACAAGGATGTTGTTTAGTCAAATAAAGTGTCATGTAGAACTTTCCAAAGCAGTCAGCTTCCCAAGGAGGTCAGGCACAGAGAGAATTGGAGCATAAAGACAAGTATTGCAGGGTCTGTTGAGATTTACTTGGGATGGAGAGTAAAGAACTGCTGAAAAGCATAGAACAATTTCTTTCCAATTGAAGCAGTATTTGTTTGTTCATAGAATTCCCGTGTCCTTCAGATGGTTAAGAATGAAGCAATTAAAGAAATAATGTGTGTAGTAGACATCCCTGGGTTTTATGGTCAATACTCCATTTCTAGGAATCACTTCTTCATTTAAACTGACATTTGCAGGGGAAGCAGCTACATTTCAGTTTTTCTCCTGCTCCTTGGCTACTGGTGGCCCAGGGGAAGGGATCTAACTCAAACTAGGTCAAAGATCCTCTTCTCCAGGACTTCTGGATGTGGGATCTTAAAGTGTAAGAAAAAATGCTTGGAATCTATGTTTCTTGCTACATAAGAGGAAGGGAGAAGCCAGTCTTTGGAGAAAGAGAAAACTGTAAATCTAAAAAAGGGTAAAAAAAAAACCTAATTCTAAACATGCCAAGTTGTCATTGGGGAGCCCTGGCTGAAATTGTTCTCCTGATTGGGACAGCCTCCTTTCCTCTTTGTCTTTGCCCATGCCTATCATAACCCCTTCATTCCTCCAGTCTCCCCTCCCCTGCAAAGCCTTCCCTGACCACATCTGATGTCCGTCTTCTGGGGTGTCTCTTACATGTGCAGCTTGATTAAACTATTGATGGACTGAAAATAAAAAAGGTTTTTTAGTATTTCTTTACTCTGAGTTTGTTTACTTTAAATTCCCTAAACAATTTTTACACATTCAACCTGGAGTCAGATTCCTCTGTATTAAAGGTACAGAATCTTGTATCACAAAAAGCACTTTTCAATGTAAAGTAGTAGAGATGTCCATTATCAAGGTTTATAGAAATGAAAATTTTTATTAGAATATTTCCAATGACCCCATGAGGCAATATTACCTGACAACCTGCTTTGGGACAAGTGTCGGTCTAGTTTTATGCTTTTGAAAAAAAGGCATATTGCCATGGGTGGTGCTCAGTTAATTGAGTGTTATCCCATGTACCAAAAGGTTGCTGATTCAATTCCTGGTCAGCACAGATGCCTGGGTTGCAGGCTCTGTCCTGGTGTGGTACCTGCAGGAGGCAGCTGATTAATATTTTGTTCCAATGTTTCTCTCTCTCCTTTCTCTTTCTCAAAAAAAAAAAATCAATAGAAGTGTATGGTTGTTGTTTTTTTTATATATATAAGGAACGTTTCACAAATTTGCATGTCATCCTTGATCAGGGTCCATGCTAATCTTCTCTGATTCATTCTAATTTTTTTAGTGTATGTGCTGCCTAAGCAAGCACTAGAAGTGTATGTTTTTTAAAAAGAGTGAAAGACAAGGGAATATTAAAATATCTCAAGTGGTCGTATTGGTCTAAGTATGTAAATAAAGCTCAGATAAATGTATTTGGATTTTCAATTCCACATGAAACAATATTTAGGATAGTCTTTTTGTCTCAGTTAAGGCTTTAAAATGGGAAAAAACATGGCCAGAAAGAGAGAGAGAGAGAGAGAGAGAGAGAGAGAGAGAGAGAGAGAGAGAGAATGTGCACACACTCTGGCTGTGTCTGTGGCAGCATTATGAATTCAACTGCTGTACCCAATAGTGAGTATTGACAATAGGAGAGGCGACACAGCAGACGGTCAGCACATTCACCCAAATGTCAGGCCGTGGCATCATTAACATAGTGCAGTGTCCAATAACTCTGAGCTCCCTACGGATAGGGACTGTGCAGGAATAATTACTTGGACATCACACGTACTTCATCACTTCCAAATTAGATTTTACTAATCCACCGCTTTATTCTCAGTATAATCTCATTACTACAATGGTGTTTCTTTTCTTTTTTTTTTTTCAACGCCTTGGAAGATTTATTGCTTCAAACCAATAACAAGATTTAGTGATTGCCAAAGGACATATTATTTTAAGATTTAGACTGCTGTGACTGGGGCCGTGGAAATGCATTCCTCTTTTTCTTCCATTCCCCACACTCTAAAGAAAATTTTAAGGTGAAAAATAAATTATAACTCCATATCTTGATTTTCCTTTTTACCATAATACAAATAAAATCATATTGCAGAATGCTGCTAATTATCTAGAAAGGAGAATAAGGGTCAACTGATCATTATACAGAGACTTTCTTTCCTTGTAAAAATGCATCAAGAAAAAAGTGTCATCTATTCTCTAGATATTTTGTCATATGTATTTTATTTTTTCTCCACTAATAATTAGGTAAAATGGATGTTCTTGGCGTTTTCTTTTTCCATTCATGTTGACTCATAGCAGATGAAGTTAGAGAATGCTGAATGATTTCTTCCTCTCAGACAGTGTTGTGTTTCAAGAGCTGTAAATTGTAGACCAGGCCAGATAGGAATTCTTTTGTTCTTCCACAGGGTAATTGAACACAGCCTGGCTATTTTAATTGACAAGGACAATTTTATAATGTCATAGAAAACAAGAAAAAATGGGATGAAAAATTATCAAAAACCAATGTTTTCCTTTTATATTTATTTTATTAATTGCTTGAGAATATTTTTCTTATTATCTACATACTTATACACACCTTATCTAATTTCATATATTATCTAATTTCCATATTAGAGTATCAAAATATGAAATTAATGGTAGGTCAAATGACTGAACATTAAGGTATACATTATATATATATATATATATATATATATATTTAGTTGCATTTCTTTTATAAGGAGGTTGTCTGTAATATGGGACAGATATTGTCATTATAAAAATAATCAAGATCAGCATGTTTTCTGCATTGAGGGAACAAAGGAAGTAATGGGGAAAATAATTCCATGCATGGTTATTATGTAACATGATGAGTGAAGTACAGGGTACAACAGATGAATTCTCCTTAGGAGTATGAGCAGGGCTTACTTTTGTAGAATGTTTGATATTTGATGTGTTCCTAATTTCCTCTTCAGAGATCCAACTTTCATCTGGGCTATGTCCTTTCTGTGCATTCCTATAAATTTGTCAACTAATTACTATCATATGCCTTATACTCAGGGTATTAGCTAGTAACTTTTCTGCAAAAGAAAGAAATACAAAGCTTTGAAAGACCCAGATTTTGGTCTTGGGTTGGGCAGTAATTGATGCTCTGTTCTTGGGATGAGTTCAAAGTGTACCCAGACTTCGGTTTCCATGTCTATATGGTGAAGATTCAAACTAAAGTATCCCTGTGGATGTTTAGAATTTTGAAAAGGTCATGAATGTAGTTATCTTTGCAGACTATCCCCTTGGATTTTTACAGAATATATTCGCAGATCATCAAGCCCGACAAAAAAGGAAAGGAGAATAAGAGGAGAATTAACAATAACTGAGTACTTGTTATGTGGCATTGATAGTTTATAAAAATAAATAAACAAACAAACAAACACACCTAGGGCTAGAGATTATATCCCAGGAGTACTCTGCACTTCTACTAACCTACGCAGACAGAGTATATATGGGTTGAAATTCAAACACAAGTGAAACACTAGTGATGGTAATTCAGGTACGTACACATGTAATGAGAGACAATAATCAATAATTTGAGTGAGAGAAGACTTTCTGGAGTCTGAGGGCACACTTTTTTTGTTGTTGTTGTTAAAATAAGACTGACCCTGTACATCTGAAATAGCCATGTTTAAGAAGTCAGGAACAAAAAGAAAAACAAATAACAAAAACTGAGTAAAGACTTTGGTTAAGAATGTCCTCTTTCTGGAAGGAAATTTTTACACTCCTAAAATACACCTGCACTTTGGTCTCTAGGGGAAATACTGTCTTTCACCTGGGAAATATCTCCTACTGACAGCATGGTACACAATCAAGGGTCTGGCTGGGATCTGGTGAGGAAGGAGAACTGTTCAAACTGGATTGATGATTCCCATGGTTTTCCTCTGTAGTCCAACAGATGAATTGACTGTATGTTTTCATGCCTACCAAGTTGCTATGGTAATACAGCTCAGCTCTTTTTGAAATTTCTATCCTCAGTGAAATGTATTACATAAAAAAAGGGTAATGAGTGTTTTTGCCCAACCTTGTGGGAGGTGGTGGCAACAATTTCAACTATCAGCACCTAAGCAGGAGTGCCAAAACCACTCACTAGAGAAAAGGTTGAGCTGAAGATCTGTGAGATGGGAGAGAGGTCAAATCCTAGCTACCTGGACTTGGCATCTGACCCAGGTCTCAGAACTGGGGGAGACTGAGCAGGAGGTGACGCCCAGAAACCACAGCCAATGAGCAGAAAACCCAAACATACTTAAGAGTTCAGCATTCTGTTGAGAAATCCTTTGAATGACTAAAGATCTATAAATGTACCCTAACTTTTCTTACGGGCACAGTGTTTATTTTGTATGTTTTTCTAAGTAAACTTTATTTTAGAATGATTTTAAAACTATAGAACAGCTGCAGAGATAGTCAGGGAGCCAGAACCGAATTGGCTCAGTGGATAGAGTGTCGGTCTGCAGACTGAAGGGTCCCAGAATCAATTCTGGTCAAGGGCATATACATTGGTTGTTGGCACATCACCGGTAGGGGGTGTGCTGGAGGCAGCTGGTCGATGTTTCTCTCTCATTGATGTTTCTAGCTCTCTGTCCCTCTCTCTTCCTCTCTGTAAAGAAATCAATAAAAAAAAATATATTTTTTAAAAGATAGGGAGTTTTTCTATATCTCTGTATCAGTATTATAATAGAAAATTGTTGGGTTAAACAAACAAATTAATTTGTTTGGTCAGAAGTCCAAAATGGAATTCATTGAGTAAAATTAAGGTGTTGACAAGGCTGTGTTCCTTGCTTTTCCCCACTTATAAAGGCTTCCCACATCTCCTGGTTATGTAGTCCCTTTGCATCTTCAAAGACAGCTTTGATGAACTGAGTTTCTCTTCTGCATCACTGGCATCGATTCTTCTGCCTTCCTTTTCTTCAAGTGAGCACCCTTGTGATTATACTGTATCTACATGGGTAATCCTGGGTTATCTTTCTACTTTAAGATCAACTGATAAGCAGCCTTAATTCCATCTGCTCCCTTAATTCCCCCTTGTTATATAATCTATCATATTCACAGGTTCCAGAGTTTGGACATTTTAGATAGGCATTTTCTGTCTACAGCACTCTTATCTAGTTTCCTCCATTGTTAACATCTTACATTACTCTCATTAGTACATTTGCCAAAACTAAACAAAAACTGGCACTGGTATGTTATATTAACTAAACCTAGAATTTATTTAGATTTTCTAATTATCTCTATTAATATCCTTTTCCTTTTGCAAGATCCAATCCAACACTGTATTTAGTTGTCATGTCTCCTGAGTTTTCTCTGGGTTGTGACAATTTCTGTCCTTGCTTTTCTTGACTTTCACAGTTTGAAGGGCACAAAAGAGCAAAGTGTTTTGACAGTTTGCCTTACTCTGAGTACATTACATTTCTTATTTCAGACCATTCCATAAGTGAAGACAGAGATGCAAAATCTTTGCTTAATTTGCCAGAACATTATATTCCAACTTTGCAAACATTCCAGAATAAACTGCTGTCATTATCAATGAGTTTCTTCAAAGGAGTGTCCAATTATTGGCTCTAGAAAAGAAGCAGAACTTAGTAGTACATACAGAACTTAGTAGAACATAGCCAAGCCTTCATGAATTCTTCTTCATTCTTGTAGAGATAAATAGGTTTATAATTAATGATAGAACTTAGTATAATAGGAAGAAATTGGGGCTTGGGATCAGAATGTGCAAGATGTACTGTTTTTGTTATTGCTGTTTGTATTATTATTTAAAATATTTATTGAAGAAAAATTGGGAAATGCAAATAAAAGATTTAAAACTAAATACAAACCATCTAGAAATAATCCTTCAAACATCTGATTGTATTATGTTTCTGAAAAAAAAAGCTATGATTATATAATACTTAAGGTTTGACCTTCATTTTCACTTATTGTCATCTTGAATTTCTAGATGTACTATGATTTTTTTTAAATCCTATAGAATAAAAGGCTAATATGCAAATTACCCCCTCAACTGGGAGTTCAGCCAGGAGTTCCACCAGGGGGTGGGGCCCGGCAGGCCAACTACCTATGGCTCCTACCCCCAGCCAGCCCCACCCTTGATTACCCCTCCCACCTCTATTGGGGAATGGGGACAGCCTGCCAATCACAATGGCCTTTCCCCATGACTGGGGCAGGCTTGATCTGGGCCTATTGGGGCAGGCTGGCCAGACCCCACCCATGCATGAATTTGTGCACCGGGCTACTAGTTTCTGATAAAGAGGCATTTAGTGTATGTCCAAGTTCAGTGTCATGAGGATA